TACCTACCTGTAAGCATGTACAATAGACCAAGGAAGACAATTATATGGCAATGAGTCCGTTGTGTGTTGGTACCACTATATTATTTTTCCTGTGTTCTCACACCTTTTAGCATGAAGTCTTGAAGATTTGTAATGCATGATTTGCGCCAATAGAATGATCTCTGTGCATGACTATGGGATTATTCGCACTTGGTGGTATAGTGCTATAGTAGGCCTGCTGCAGCTCTGGAGCAAGAAAATACATTTCTGGATGGAACCAGAGAACTTTTTCTTAGCACTGATGATGAAGCCATGTGCCTGGAGAATATTGAACATCCAAGACACGGCTCTGTGTGCTGTGAGAGAGCTCTGAGCAGGATGTTGCCCAAAAAGGGGTCCAGGTGAGATTCCTATGACCTGAGTCAAGCATTGGTTACCATCACGAACTTTTTGCCTGTCCTCAACCCCCAGGGTTCCTATAAACAGGAGTGTTCTAAGATTCTCCTATGGGAGGAAACATTAATACTGAAGTCTGCAGTGACACAATCTGATGTGAATATGGAAAAATGCATCTGCTACTTTATAGTGAAGTCAAGAAGTCTCCCCCAGGACAGAGGACAACACAATTTTTTTCATCCACTTGTTAAGCCTTTTGACATTGAGAATGGCTCTGATAGTGAGTGGTGCACTATAGTGCAATGATGAAGATGAGGTAGAACCCAGACAGCCTTTCTTCTGAGGAAAAGCTCACAGCCACTCTCCTATCCAGAGGTTGAGATATTTCATTCTGGATCAGATTGTTTAATTGGCTTATTGGACTGGGTGACTAGATAAAGAACGGATGAGGTGGAGCCCTCCACTCAAGAGTGTATCTTTGGCCCACTATTTCTCTGACCCCTGTGATCAGTGAAAACCCATCTTTTAGGCTATGGGAGATCCTGCCCCGTGCTTCAGCTCTGGGTGGAGGCCTGTGTGATCTCTGTCATATAATGGATTGGGAGAGTTGGGGTCTCAGCTTGTGCTGTTTCTCCATGATCCTAATGTGATTGCTGATCAATGGGCAAAGGACACTGGCTAGTACATTAGAATGATCTGCACATTAATTTGCCTGAACTAAAAACAGCAGCTCTGTACCAGGATTGACCAAATGAATTTGGTGCGAAATTCCACTTCCAGTATATTGCATCTATATGAGCACTCCATGCATTCATCACAAGCAAGGTGCTATTGCCCAGAGGGTGCAATTTGAGGACCCAATGACTCAAGGCTCTTTACTACAATAATTTCAAATGCCACATAGACCTTGACAAAATGATCATGAATAAAAGCAGTTAAAGCATAAAGTGTTGTAAGTTTATGAAGTGTTACTCATAACTGTCCAGGGTCCCTAATTTCACCTCAGAAATTATCCTGGTCTTGCTTTTTCCTGACGTTTGTCCTTCAGCAAGGGCAGGGATGCTTAAAAAGAAGAAACAGCAAACACCGAGGCATGTGCAAAGAGAAGCCCTCTGTTTTCTAGCTGTTGTACAGTTTGGAGAGACTGACAGGCTTCACTTGCTATCCCAATGGCACTTCTCGACCCATTACGTTGTCACTTGGCATTCAGGAGAGAAATGAAGCATCACCGGCTCTCTGACTAGAAACTGATTGTGTTGAACCACTCCAAATAGCAGCACTTTGAACTTGTTTAACCTCCTAAAACCCTCTTGAACTGAATCTCACAACATCTTTGGGAGGTAGGTATGTTGTATCTCTGTCTTACACCTGGGGGGACCAAGCCCCAGAGGCAGGCAGTAACCTGTCCCTCGACAGACCAGAAACTGGTGGAGCCATGCATGCCTGTGCTCTGCTACATCCCTTTACGTTGTGAGGCTTGGTAAATGAATGTAAGTGTCCTTAATAGCTGCTGTGTATAGTATGTCCCAATGTTGCAACGTTATCTTACTACACTGTAATGGTAAAGATAGGAACATGAATTAGTTAAGAAGGATTTATTTTGCAAAGAGATTATCACTGCAAGGACATTGCAATGAGAAAATGAATAATTCTTTACTTTGCTGATGACTAATGCTTTGACGTCAGTAGCCTCTGGCATAGCCATTGCCAGCAACAGATTTCACAATAGGAAAAATCTGGCTCCCCCAGTTAAGAATATTAATAGAAATTAATTCCAGTAAATAATAAAGTAACATTTACAGATGACCATCATAATTTCAGTATTAAACATAACTGAAAGATCACCCCTCCTTTTGGCACACCTAAGACTTTGTTCCAGCACTTAATTATTTTGCATATGATGTATCAGTCAAAATCTGCAGCTGCTCCACATTGCTTTTGTCCATGGAGTTCGCCAGGAGAAGTGAGATTCAGCAGCAGAAATAGCTAGGCTTAACAGAATTAAGCATTTTCACCACCATTTTATTAGCTTTAATAGATCGGCAATGACACAGTATTTGCAAAGCACCATCACTATATAATGAGATCCTCTGCTTGAAGAGAATGAGAATTTTATCAGGCATTATTCTTAAAAATGTTAACATTCTGTATTTTGCTGGCTCAATAATAGTATCAAAAGCCTGTTCATTTATCCGTCCATGTACATGGCCCACCATCGCTGTAGAACGGGTGGATCCAGCCCACAAAGGCCCTGCTACTCCTCCCCCTCAGGCCAATTTGGGCCTGTGAGCCTGGAGGAGGGGAAGGCGCACAATGTTTCCTCCACCCTGCAAGGAGCGCGTGGCTTAGAAGCTCCACACACGCCTCGCACGGTGGGAGGCTTTGCGCACTCCCTCGCCCCCAGGGCAATCAGGGCTTGGGGGCAGGGGAGCACACAAAGCCTTCTCCCGCTGCACGCTCCTCGCACGCTCCCTCCACCCAATCAGGGCCTGGGGGTGAGAGAGCACGCAACACCTCCTCCAGCCCTGCGAGGTGCACATGGAGCTTCTAAGCACCATGCGCTCCTCACAAGGTGGGGGCAGGGCAAAGCAAACTTCACACCAATTAGGGCCTGTGAGTGGGGGAAGGTGCACGGTTTCCTCCACCCTGCAAAGAGTGTGCTACTTAGAAGTACCACATGCTGCTTGCAGGGTGGGAGGAGGCTTTGTGCGCTCCCCCACTCCTAAGCCAATCAGGCCCTTGGGGCAGGGGAGTGGGCAAAGTTTCCCTCTGCCCTGCCGCGTGCACTCCCTCCACCCCCAGGGCCTGTGAGGAGCACGTGGCACTTCTAAGCGCCATGCACTCATCGCAGGGCAAAGGAAACTTTGTGTGCGCTCTCCCATCCCAAGACCCTGATTGGCATCTAGGCGGATCCTCTGGGTGGGGCAAAGGCACTTTACTCCCCCAGATCAATCATGGTCTGTGGGTGGAGAAGCAGGGAAGTATTCTGGCCCCGCCTCTTCTGCGTAAGGCCAGGGCCACTTCAAAAATGTCTGAAGTGGCCCTCAGCAAAAAATTATTGCCCACCCCTGCTGTAGAATGGGAGTGCTTCTCAACTATGCTTACACTAGGGATGTTAGATATCGTGCAATTGAATAGTCATGTAATCACATTAAATCTTAGTAGTTACACAACTATTTGATAGTCCCCAGGGGTGGGGCTTGCAGCCAGTGCACTCCCAGCCCCACTCCCGGGGAACCTACCTGTGAATCCAGGCTGTTGCCTCTCTATCATAGGCAGCAGTGCGGGGTGGCAGGTGGAGCTGGTCTGTGAGGGGAGCCAGTTTTAAAAACCAGATCACCTCCCAAACAGACTGAGTGCTGCTGAGATACAGAGACAGCAGTGTGGGATGGCAGCAGCCCCTGTCCACAGGGAGCTCAGACTCCCACAGACAAAGACTGCTTTGCAGCAATCTTCCCTGCCCCTGGCCCCCTGCTGCTGCCTCTATCACTACAGGGGGGCTCCCCTCAGCAAGGGGGGAGTGGGTGGGACGCTGACTTGAAAGCCAGCTCCCCGTGTGTATTGGCTCCAGCCTGCCCCCCTCATCCTACCCACTGCTGTCTCTGTATCAGAGGCAGCAGCATGTAGGGGGCAAGCAGATCCTGTGCTCGTGGGGAGTCAGCTTTTAAGCCAGCTCCTCACAGGCACCAACTCTTGCTCCTACCCCTTGCTGTCTCCAATATAGAGGCAGCAAGGGCAGGGGGAATACATGAAGCCGACTATACAATTAACTGATTAGCCTAGTGTTATCAGTTAATCTTGTTGACTACAGGTTGATATTCCTACCTTACACCTTTGGACATAAAGAAGCACCATTATCCCCATTATACAGAGGCACAAACCCTCAAAGGTATTTAGGCACTGCCAAAGAAACTCAAAGATTTGCCTAAGGCCACCTTCCCACATCTGGTTTCTCTGGTCTTACAAGCAAGAAGCATTCAGCTGAATTGAAAATGCAGTACTTCTATTAATCCATTAGCTCCATGTAAAGTGGCCTGACACTTAAGCTGAATGGATCAAGGCACCTGGCTCAGCTGCTAGGTGGCACAGAATGGTCAACCTAAATAGTGATGAATAGGAAAGGCAATTGATTAAAAGCTGGAGGAGATGCACATAGCAAGCACAGCAGAAAGTACATGTGCGCGCACGTACATGTTATTGCTGGATGGAGAGTATTACTCAAACTGGAAGGAGAAAAAGATATTTATTTTAAGTTACACCAAGTTCCATTTCCAGTTTTTTACTTGAAGCAATTTCACTGGAGCTCTTTCTGGAAAGGATCATATGACTTACAGAAAAAGCAGCAAATAATTTGCAATATTTTGATTATAAAGTCATCAGTGTCAGCAAAACACTCCAAAGCGTGCATCGCTACTTCTTCTGTGGTTGTGACAGTCTTGTACTAACACAGATTAGGGTATTATTCCAACAGGACACAGACAGCCTACTGTCATTTTATTTTAACAAAAATCCTAGGTGAGATCCTTATTGAATTTTTGATTTCTTCCTGCTGCAAGGCAAATGAAGGTTAGATGTAGAGTACACTACTTACAGCCATCTTGACCTTGCTTTGGAAACACTGACAATATTATACTCAAAGAGATTGGTGGATTTTATTGGTCAAGGAGGATACATTAACATTTTTATTGTGATAAATAATCCTTTTGATTTTATGGGCATAGGTGATTTTACATAATAGCTATGATTAATGTACAATGCTCAAAAAGACATGGAATGATACTGTTCAAGTAGAATGTTATGGGGAAATACATGGATCTGTTTTACCTATATGAAATGGGAAAGTTATTTTAATTTCAGTTTATATTTGATTCATGATAGGTTTCTAGTAAGTGCTTTCCAAGCACTTAGCCCAGATCAATATTTATGAAAACTTACTACAGAATGCTGCTGACTTTTATTTTGTAGGCCAAAATTGAATAGAGTTACCCACTTACACTGCTACATATAATTAATTAAATCAGATTATAGAATTACAGTAAAATTACTCAAGAAAAATAACTTAATTTCTGAGGAATAGATGGTAACACATCTCTTTACTCTCCTACACTCCCAACTTGATGGGGAAGGAGACAAACTATTACACTCAGTAATCATGAGATCAAAACACTTTGATTATTTGCATGAATATGAACGTACATATATATCCTCCTTTCTACCTCCTCACTTTACACAGAGGAATCTCTCCTTGAGTTTTTACAGAAGTTCCATGCCCTTTTTCTGTAATAAGCTTTGATGCTTAATTGCCTGCCAGAGCTATTCTAGTGGCGCACAAACAATTCAGAAAGTACTCGTATGCTTATTCCTTCCAAATGCTCTACTCTGTAATCTTAGTCTTCAGGTTCTTCATAATGGGCATAGCCACTAGCATAGGTCCTTCCTAAATTCAAATTACTGAATACATCTGTGGCCTCTGTTTCAGAATCTTTCCCTCCCTCCTCGTCTTCCTCATCATCATCTTCTGCTTCATCCTCTTCATATTCATCATCATGGTCACCTGCATTTCCATCCTTGCCAGATGAGAGGTTCTTCCAGTAGGCATCATAGCCAGAAGCTCCATCTGCCTCTTCACCTCCTGTCTGCCGGCCAAACTTCAGGGAGCGGGCTGTGAATAGACAAAGAGTTAAATTCTTATTTTTCAGCCTCTGTCATAAGTGGGGCATTAGACATTTCTTCATCTACCATTCTTCTTCACCATCTACTCAAGAGTACATGACCAGCAAACAGCCCAGGACTATAATGATCAGTCTCTTGAGAAACTTCAACTGGTTTTTTTCCAAGTTTAATCCTTCAAGTCAGCGCCTATAACAGACCCTTTTCCTGTGCTCCCCATTCAAAATGTCTTACCTCCAGAGCTGGTCATACATACAATAATTGTACCAGATATTCTGTTTATTATCTAAACTTTTCAGGACCCCAACTTTGGCTGTAGAGCACATTTTTCGCACTAAAATAAATATTATGTATTTTATATACAGATACATAGCACCTAAGATAATGTGTGCTTTTATGGATAAATTGTTTTGGGTAAGCAGACTCATCTGGGTATCTTCTAATGCAGGGGTGGGGAACCTCAGGTCTGGGGGGGCCAGATGCAGCCCCAGCTTGCCTGAATCTGGCCCCTGAGGCTCAGGGCTCCCCAACAGCATTGGGGAGCCTGCA